ATGAAACTAAGCCTCACCAGACAGCACCTGGCATCTTCTCAGATTTGGATACACAGTTGATCCTTGTTGTTTGTAGATTCTGTATTTTCAGTTTCACCTACCTGCTGAAATTTCTTTGTAACTCCAAATCAATACTTGTGGCACTTTCACAGACCTGTGCATAGCAGCAAAAACATTCTGAGTTTCCTGACATGCTCTGCCTTCTTGTTTCAGCTCTTGTACTGTAAACCGGTGTCCTTTTCACTGTTTATTTAGTGTTGCATTTTTATATTTTGTACTTTTTGTGGGAGTTTTCACTGTTTAAATTGACCCCAAGTGTAGAGCTGAAGTGCTGTCCAGGGTTCCTAACTGCAAGAGGCTGTGCTGTTCCTTACAGAGAAGAGACATGTGTTACTATTCAGGTGTGACTTACAGTGCTTTGGCTTAGTTCAGTGTTAGTGTATATTAATGAGATGTCTTTAAATAGAAATACACATAACACAAGATTATGTAACCTAACACAGTATTTTCTCCAGGAGCAGTGGTTTCATATTTGCTAGTTCAGTGTTTGTGGTGATTTTTTAGAAGAGACCCACTATGAATAAGGAAAGTCACTGTAGTTCCTGTGGCAAGTAGCATACCCTCCACCCCCAAGGATGTTCCTGTCCTAATCTGTGGGACCTGTGGATATGTTACCTTATTTGGCACAAGGGTCTTTGCTGATGGGATTAAGAATATGGACCTGCCCTAACCGGTTTGGCTCAGTGGATAGAGCGTCGGCCTGCGGACTGAAGGGTCCCAGGTTCGATTCCAGCCAAGGGCATGTGCCTTGGTTGCGGGCACATCCCAGGTGGAGGGTGTGCAAGAGGCAGCTGATCGATGTTTCTCTCTCATTGATGTTTCTAACTCTCTATCCCTCTCCCTTCCTCTCTGTGAAAAACCAATAAAATATATTAAAAAAAAAAAAAAAGAATATGGACCTGCAGATGGAGAGAACATTCTGGATCTAATCAGAAGGACCCTTAGAAGTTCAAACCTTTTCCTGCTGTGGTCAGAGGGAGATGTGACTATGGAAAAGAGAACCAGAAGGAAGGCAGCATAAAGCCTTTGCTGGCTTTTAAGACAGAGGAAAGGGCCACAAACCAAGGAGTGCAGGTGGCCTCTAGCAGCCAGAAAAGGCTTGGAAATCTCTAGAATCCCCAGAAATGAATGTAACCCTGCTGACACCCTGGTCTTAGTTGGCGAGATCCATGTCAGATCTCTGACCTCTTTAAGATTTTTGTGTTGTTTAATGTTTTGTGTAGAGTTTTATTTTTTACTAGTGGCCTGGTGCACGAAATTCATGCACATTAAAAGGGAATTAATTAGAGGAAATATTTTAATATTGCTGTTTGCCCTTTCTCTATAATAGAAGTGTCAGAATTGAAAGAAAATTAGTAAAATGTATATGAAAATCTCTCTCCTGTCAGAGTCTGGGGCACGCTGCGGGACCCAGAATCAAGTCCCTGCCCACCCATGTGCACCTCGAAATCGTGCAAGACCCAAACCTGGCCGGCCCCACCTCCATTGGGCAAGAACCAGACCCGGCCGGCCCCACCCCCGTCAAGCCCCACCAGGTGGTGGGGTACAGCCTCAGGTCCCCCATCAAGCCCCGCTGGGTGGGAGGGACACAGCCTCAGGTCCCCATCAAGCCCTACTGGGTGGGAGGGACACAGCCTCAGGTCCCCTGGCCCGGTGCAGGTGGGGGGGGCACTGCTTCAGGTCCCCCAGCGCATCCTCAGGTCCCCTGTCCTGACGCCGGGGTGGAGGGCGTGGCCTGAGGTCCCCTGTTAAGCCCCACTGAGGGGAGGCGCAGCCTCAGGTCCCCCTCCCCGGCGCCACGCAGCCTCAGGTCCCTGCTGATCGCTCATTATGGCTCTTTATGGGAACCCCGCCTCCGCTGTGGGCGCAGCCATCTGTGTTATGGGAACCCTGCCTCTGCTGTGGGCCCAGCCATCGTGTGACGGAGTGAGGGTCAGTTTGCATATTGCCTCTTTATTATATAGGATATTTAAAAATTATTCTCTTCCCCCACCCTCCCCTCCTTTTTGGTAACCATCAGCTTATTCTCTATATGAGTCTGTTTCTATTTTGCTTTATTTATTCATTTGTTTTCTTTTTTTTTTTAGATTCCACATTTTATTTACTTAGTTAGTTAACCCTCACCCGGGGATATTTTTTCCCCATTGATTTTTAGAGAAAGTGGAAAAGAGGGGGAAAGTCAGAGAGAGAAACATCAGTGTGAGAGAGACATCGATTGGTTGCCTCCTGCATATGCCCCAAATGGGGCCGGGGATAGAGCCTGAGCGAGGTATGTGCCCTTGACCCAGAATCAAACCTGTGTCCCTTTAGTCCTCCAGCCAACACTCTAACCACTGAGCAACCGGCTAGGGCAGATTCCACATTTA